GTGGTTTGAGTGCAGTGAAGTGGAGGAGGATAAAATCGGCGCTTAATCGCACATCGATGAGAGAGTGCGCGTTAAGGAATGACATCTTTGACTGAGTCGTTTGATAGATCGATCACTTTTGTGGTCGTCGTTATGACACTGAGAACTGAATAAAACGATTCAACGTGAAGGCTCAGCAATATACTTATGCAAATGAGCGTTTAATTGTACTCATTGATAAACATTCCGAAACGTATCGAATTGCTTGATTCACACTGAAATGATGACCAAGGAAAGTGGATTAACTTCAAGTGCTTATTGGAATTGACAAAAGCAAACGAAAAATTGACTACGTTATCATTCAGAGCTTTTTCCACGACATGTTTTTAGTTATTAACGTAGACTGATACATTACTTGACATAATGAAATGCTCAGTTTGTTCCGAAAATTTTCGTCTGGAACTTTGTGATTGGACACTGATCCGTTCTCCTGGTCATACGAATCAAACCAGCTCCAGTAGATACGAAAGACTTCAGGTTCAAGGTCATTAGGATACTGGTAGTTCATATTGTAGAGCATGCTGCTTTTATCTCTCATGAGATCAGTTCATCCGTTGATTGTCACTAGGATCTTCATTAAGATGCGGTCAAGATGTCAAGCCGTGAAACTGCCACATTTGTTAAAATTACTCTGATTTCTCATGGGCATAACTAAAGATGTTGTCGAGTGTGCTGACAGGGATCGGTGAATCACATCGATCACCCATTTAGCGCAGTTAAGAAATGCTGTTTCTTAAATGCAATGCTGTCAGCATTGACACATATTCGAGGGTCATTCCGCAATCTGGTGCGATACACATAACAACTGAATAAAGAAACTGAGGGTGAGCTAAGATCAACCATCGTAATTGCGTCGAAACCTACTGAATCAACATTCGCAAATAAATTGCGGAACGTGTCGAAACGGGTTTCTAACACCATTAGACTACATGAAAATGGATCGTGAAAATAACAGTGTAAAATTGGAATTGAACCATTCATGTAATCTCATTTGAATGAAAGCAATTGTAGAGTTGTGAAACGAGGAGAGCGTATATCGCTACGCAAGCACCTTTACCTCATACCTTCGGTGATTTCTGGGAGATGGTTTGGCAGGAACGATCGAATATTATCGTTGTTATCACGAAACTGGTCGAGCACGGAAGGGTTAATATAGCATCTCATTTTGATTCATTTTAGAGCTGACGTTCAATACATCCAATCGTTCCGGTGGTTTTTATGCCACTATTGCATTTAACATCAGTAAAATGAATAGAAATGTTAAAATTAACAACGCAAAGCTGTGAATGCTTTTTTTGCGTTCACATGGTTCAAAATAACAAAGCTCATTAGTAGTGAGTTTTTTTTTTTCAGCGTAAATGTGATCAGTATTGGCCTTGTTCAGCGGGTCAGTCGCAAACGCATGGCAATTTCACGGTAACGCTCGACCTAGAACGGCCCAATGCACATTTCGTTCATCGTTTCTTAACACTCAAGTCTTCACATTGCCTTATGGTAGGTCTATTTTATCACACTTATTCAGGTATAAAAAACATGCATCATATAATGATTACTAGTAATCATTGTTGAGTTGAAATCACCTTGTTCTGAGTTGTGGTGGGTAAGATCTGTACAGTTGGAGGTAATTTCTCGGCAAATGTGGACAGTTTAAATCGGACCATCCGAAATTAGTTGAACGTGCTATTCTTCGATTTTGAAACGTATGTTGCTTTTCTTCCGGTCAATGTCAATATCAAAAAACAAACGATCAGCGTTTATACGATTCAGAACGTGGCTATAATCTGAGCACGACATTTTGTTGTCTCTATCGATGTAATGTCAAAGAGGAATTTTCAGACGGAGCGCCAAGTTCACCAGGTGCACTTTACTTCTTGGCCGGACCACGGTGTACCGTCGAATGTATTTCCGTTGTTGTCTTTCTTGAAATATGTATCCGATATTCACAGCACAGGACCGATCGTTGTTCACTGCAGGTAACTGAAATTTGTTTCTCGATTGGGAATCGGTTGATGAATTATTGCACAACTGAGGTGAGCACCCGACGTGAGAACCACCATCCTAGTTGAAACAGAGCAAATATTATTTGGATGGAATTTCCTAAATTATTTCAAGAATCTTCGACTAATACTGTCGCTAGTGATCAGTGCGTATAGTTACGTTTCTCTGCGGCTTCCTTCACAGAGTAGTTTCGCAATACGACTTTCTCCATACTTAAGCAAATGGTAAAAGAATAATTCAAAATAATAAATGAAACACTGCCGAAATCAACGATTGCACGGTCACCATGTAAGCGTTGATAGAATTTCATTTTCAGTGCCGGTGTTGGACGTTCAGGGTCTTTCATGCTAATTGATAGCATGCGAAGGCATTTGGTGGTTTCTGATTCACTTAATATTGAAGCACATCTGAGGCATATACGGCAGCAGAGAGCGAAGCTCGTGCAAACAGTGGTATCGTTTTGACAGATAATATCATATTTTCATTTTATGCTTTCAACTAACAACTAACATGATAATATGCAAACGTCGATAGTTCTGGTCTTCGAATGCACCATTTCAGGAACAATATGTATTTTGTCACGAGGCGATTCGACAATTGATTGCTCATGGAACAACTCGCGTTCACATCGATAATTTTATCCATTACACGCATTATTTGTTCAACGAAGTCATCAATGGTCGTACACGTTTGCAAATGCAATATGAGGTTTTTGAACTCATCGCTGATGCTTTGCTCTGGAAATTCTTTGAGGGCACAGAATAAGATTCTATGAGGACTGCAAACATCTTGCAGTAATATTTGTGCGCGTAGATCATTTGTTGAGCAATTATAAAAAATTGATGTTGAAAATGCTGAATGATATGTCAGTGATCACTATGAAAAAACACGATATACGGCAAGGTGTTGTTATTCAAAGTTGTTTTATTTCACAGGATGTGTGCAAGTGTCAACATTCACCCGTATGCCCAAATCCTATCGGTTATCAAACATTTCCGGTTAGCAATTTGAATATTATACATTTAGAAAATGTCCACATTCATGAGATTTGTATTTCATTGAAATCACATTCTTGAACAGTTTTTATCACAATTTTATCAACCCCATTTCAGGGATACCATAACAATTCCGAATTCATTA